ACATACAAGTCTCCTGCACAGAGAAGAGTAACTCTCTTCTCTTACTATGTCTGTGTAAAACAAAGCAGGCTTTTCATGGATAGGTGGGGATCAGAGGTTTTAATCCAAGCCCCATTTCAGTTAATGCCCTCTTGGAATCTAGGAAAAAAATATGGAAAAATGGGACAGAAGTGGAAAGAGATTTATGAGTTGCAAACTATGACAGGGAAAACTGATAATTGTTCATCCAGCTCTGAGTGCTGTATCTAATTCAGTATATAACTTGGTTGTAAGCTTGTGCTCCTCTTACACTCATTGTACTTGAGACACCACAGAACTAAGTACTAAAAACCAATGAAACAAAAAAGAGTTACTAATCCTAGAAGCTTGGACTGTTGTTCAGTCAGGAGAAAATAAGTAGAGAAGGATATATGGTGGATAAATTGTGGGGAAAGCAAGACCGTATAGGGAGGCTTCATGAGTGGGTAAGCCCTTAGCACACAACTAATCTTGCATTAAGCATAGGAAACTATACATACATCCTAAAATGTTCTGCACTGGCAAGAGCACGTTATACAACATGTATCTCACAGACAAGAAGACACCTGAGGGAACATATCATGTACCATTGTGCAGTTTCTCTCCCTGGGATATAGGCAAAAAGAATGCAAGATACTCTGAGCAAAAGGAATAAGCAATATTCACACAACAGTCTGAGACTGACTGAAGCTGCAATTCAGGTCTTAAAACCTATGGGGACTGTTTGATTTTCTGATTCACTCACTATGACCTCTTGTATTCCAGACAACAAAGAAAAAATTCTGTCAACTGTTAAGGATTCGAAGGGGTTGTGACTCTCTTAAATCTGCTATCAGCATTCCGACATTTTCCCCACCTGACCTGTTTAATCTAAGTGTATACTCTAAAAGGATTCCTGGATTTTCTAGAAAACGGAAAGGCTAAGCTGTCTGATAGCACCCAAGAAATGCCAATGGTTTGTGCTGGTTGGTTCCCTTTATCAGCTCTGGAGAATGGATATGATTGCAACTAATTTTTCTGAGCATTTCTTCACTGATGAAAAGTGCAGTAGGAGGGACTACATGTTATTGTTGTCACTATTACAATGATTATTATTATTATTACTATTATGATTGTTCTGGGGGAGGAAAGGAGCATTGAAAGATCTCACCAGGGGAAGTCTGAATGATTGGTGCTTCAGTGGCTTTATTGTGCAAGTATCCTGCTATATGCTCATTTTTGCAAATTCACCTGCAAATTCATTCTCTCTCCTCCACATACAGTCACTGACACAATCTAATACCTGTGAACCATCCAGCACTAAAAACATTAAACTGCAGGGGAGCTCAAATGCCTTCTCATTCTAGGGCGCAGAATATTAAACATACCATCCTTACATTTTACTAGCTATCATTACCAAATGCTTGCTATCATCAAATACCAGGCTAATTTAAGCTTTCCATTTTCAAAGCAATCTGAATCCCTGTTCCTTTTGGCTGCACCTGGCCTCTCCCAACCATGCTACCAGCTTCTTCTAACTTGCTCCCATTCTGCCTCCACCTGACCCACAGGCCAAGTGCTCCCAGGAGTTAACTGATGTTTCTGTTACATCTGTAGATGTTTTTGTACCATGTGTAATACAAGTGAGAAAGCTGGACTGTAAAAACACAGGAACTGTGTTTTTGTTGTGTTGTGCATTGTCAAATGGGGTATGAATCCATCACTGGGATCCCTAGAAACAATTATCATCAACAATCAGACAAGGAGCGGGTCATGTCAGGATCAACTCGGGTAAGATCCTGGTCATAAATTTGCAGAAGGACTTTGTCCACCTGGGTGATTCCTCCCTGGGTTATGGGTTGGAGGACAAGGAGTGATTTTAGTGAGCTTTACCAGCAGCAGGCACACGTGTGTACATGTGTGAGAACATCTGCCCAGGCTTTGTGCTCAGCCTAAGGGCTGGTGGTTTTTACTCTGATGTGTTACAGCTGCTGCACTTGCAGACGTTGATCTGTGTATACAGGCTGTACCTCCCACTTTGGATCAAACTACACTTTTACACAGCATAACAGGCACTGACCTCTGTTCTCTTCAAATTCCTCTAGGCCCTACTGGACTGCAAATAATTACTGTCATCATTATGTACTTGTCAGGACACAGAAGCATCAGCAGGACCAGAAGGCAGATCTGTAAGGGCTGGGGAACTGCTTGTCTGTGATGGGTCAAGTTTAACCTCAGGCATGGCTGGGAATTGTAGTCTGCAGACAGCGTGTGACTGTGAGCAGCATCTGACAAAGAATCACGTGACTATCTGCCAGCATCTAAATAAAAAAAACTCCTGCATCAGTGGAGATGATGAGGTAAGTTGAACCTCCCGAGAGGTCAGAGTAGATAAAGGCTATCCTAGTGGGAAAAAGGCTTGTCTTTGCTGACTTGGCTGTTTCTCGAGCTTTTTTACCTCTGTCTTGAATCCTTTGCAGTAATTAACGAGCCCTTTAGAAGATGCTGAGGGTAATTTGCCTTTCTCTCGCCTGCTACCTTTGTACAGTTGATCAGAATGGATGTGCGGGTTGTGTGATGCCTTCACGGCAGCAGCCCCGAGTGTACTGTTCAGACGTGCTTCTCTCTGCCCCGGCTGGTCCTGACTCTCCACCTGTGCCGTGCATCCACTCAGCTCCTCGGGCAATCAGATGGCCTTGCGGGAGATGTGCCCGTTCATGTGCGTGCGTGACTAATCTCATGGAAGCGCTGGCTCAGTAAGCGTTTAATAACAGGATTTCACCCTTTCCCATTGACCCACCGCTGCAGGCACGAGCAGCCAACAACTAAGCCAGGCTGCAAGCCCAGCCAGGTCGGTCTCCTACAGACAGGGACGATGAGAATGGGGAAGCTGTGCCGGGACGCACACACGCGAGGAGGAGGTTGCGCCAAAGCGAGGGGGAAGGTGGGTGTGGGCTCCAGAGGCGTTGGTCGGGGTGAGAGCCGGGACTGTGCTGAGGTGCCCCGCGCGTGTCCCGCCCGTGTGTCCCAGGCTCCCAGGGGACGTGCGACTCCCACCCGGCCATCGATGCGCTCGGCAAAGCCACGCCCCGCCCTCTCCCACACCCCGCGGGCGCCGCGTTGGAGGCGCTCGGCGCTCGGCCGATCGGCCCTGGCTGCGGCCCCTTGTCTCCCAGTCCAAGATGGCGGCGGCGGGTGGCGGCGCGGCGGGAAGCGGTGGGGCCGAGTGAGGCGGCCGCAGACTGTGCCCACCCTGCGCCCGCGGCTCGGCGCCGCCGGGCCGTGTCGCCGGTGAGGCCGCCCCGCGGCCGGGGCACGCCCGGGCCTGCTGCAGAGCGAGCGGAGCCGCGGGCTGGCGCGAGGCTGGAGCGAGCTCGGGTGAGGGGGCGCGGGGCAGCCGAGCCCGCTTTGAACGGAGGCGGCGGCGGGGACCGGCCCGGGGGGTGCTGGGGCGCATGCGCGGCCGGGCCGGTGCCCGCGGAGGGGCCCGTGCCGGTTGTCCCTCGGCCCCCGCTGGGAGCTGGGAACGCCGGCGGGAAATGAGGCGAGGCAGCCGCTTTCCGCGGTCTGTCTGCGGCAGGAGCGAAGTGCGGGGCCTCGAGGATGCAGGACAGCAAGGCTGGGTCTCGATACCCCGGGCGTGTGCGTTAAGGAACGGGAGACGTGAAGGGAGAGTTTCTCCACCGAGCCTGTGCGGTCATTGCTGACACCGAGGAATTCGAAGCAGGGGAACCTAATTAGGATTCATAGGATGAAACTAGTTAAGGGTACGTTTTGTGTTTGCTGGGTGGGAGGTCTGGGTTGTGAGCCCCTCTGAGCAGTATCTACCAACCTTTGTACCTGCTAAGCAGGTAAGATTGAAAATAGAGTAAAAGGTGTGCATGTAGCTGCAAAGAAATCCCAGTTTCTCCAGGTCATCCATTCATGAATGACTGTCTCCAGCTTTGTTTTGCTGAGCAGTATCTGTGTTAGGCCCTTTCCCTCTTGAGCATAACGCTTTAATGTTGTGTGCCTTCCCACAGAAGTCTGACAGATGAACATCACGAGATTTTGACAACATCTGGTTCAAGATCTTGAGCCCACAAGTAGCAAGATGCCTTTTTTTATTGCAAAGTGTAGTGCTCTAGTGCATATACACGTGCAGTGCTCTTGTGTGTTGGCAGAATTGCTGTGCTTGCTACCAGCAATGGATAGGGGTTGGAATACTGACTTGACATTTTGTGATGGATAGTTTCCCAAAAGCTGAAGAAATAATGTGTATGCCTATGAATTTAAGCAGAAACATTTCCTGTGTACCCTCATGCTTGATTCAGTTGTGATTTTATTATATCACTTGAGTAACCACTCTAGAAATGGATATGTTGTACATTGTACATCAACCACTTGTCTGTAGAATTGGGGTGTGTACAGGGATGTACAAGCACAAATTCCCTGCTCCCCGAGCATTCCAGTGTAACTTCAGTGTGGCACAGTTACCGTGACAGCTGGAATGAACAAGCTGCATGCTCTTTGTCGTTGAGTGTTTACACGTGTGCACATACATACAAACACACAGAGTCAGTTGGGTGTGATTGGTTTAATCACCTACGAGCAGAAAGTTGATCTTTTCTTGCTAAGCTGGTCACTGACTGAAGAACAAAAGTTGCTTGCTCTGAGAAATCCAGAGTGTGGCTATTCCATAATGGTGGCGTCATTTTATATGCCAATAACTGTGGAACAGGGTGACTCAGTTAGAGGAAGCCTGAAACCTGTGGGCTGGCAGAGGTTAGGGTGCTGGAGAAGGCCTAGTGAAAAGGAGTGCTCTCTTCCATCCCCTCTCCCAGGCTGGCATTGAGAATGGCTGCAGTGGTAGCATTGGGAAACACATCAAAAGGATGCACACCTTTGCTACAAAACGTGTGATCCTTTAGTTAAAATGATTTTAAATTATTGGTTTTTGTAATATAATGATTTCTGCCTGATCCCTTCTTTTCCCTCACTTTATCTGATAGTCAAGGGTTTGAAATCTCTTTTTAAACATCCTAATCTTTGCTACAGTGGCTCCTGACAAAAAATGGCTTTGACACAGTTTGGGTACAGTTTTGTGTGTCACGAAAATCAAATTCAGTTGCCTTCTCACCCTCTTCTATTTTTGTAAAGAAATTACTTCAGTAATTTGGATATTTTATAAGGAAGAGGTGGTCTTTTTCTATCTTGAAAATAATACAACATCCATTTTACTTTAAAAAAAAAATCTGTCAAGCCTGAATAATAAACAAAAACCCATCAAGAGGTAGACTCCTTTCACACTGTCTTCCGGAGAATCTTCACTTTGTTCAGAGAAAGTTTCCCAATTTACATAGTGATTCTTCTTTATGGGAGAGTTATGTTCATTCTCTGTTTCTCAGACCTTTTCCTATAGATGGGAACGGGGGAAGGAGCCCAGACGTGGCAACTCATTCACAGGCTCCTGCCGGACCACCATGGCTTATGATGGCGCCAAGAAGAAAGAAGGTATGACTGCTTCATAATCTCAGAGAGATTTGCAAAAAAAAAAATAGGGTACCCTCCCTCTGCAGCCTTGCCAGGCCATGCAGTCAGAGTGGGAACGGAAGGTAGTGTGCTGTGGAGCTCTTAAATTTAACCTGGCCAAGTTACTGGAGGATCCCAAGCCCTTGACTTTCAGGTGTGAAGTACTGGGATTAGAACTTGAGAAAAATGGGTGGTATTTTCTTGTGCAGACACTCTGATTGGAAACTCTGCCACTGCAGCCTTTCTTCTCCCTGCCAGGTCAATGGAACTGGGGACCAGCAGTAATGATAAGTTTAGTCATGGTAACATTTCTAGGTCCACTTGTCTTTAGGAAGGAATATACTAGGGTTACAAATTAAATCTGGAGTGATTGTGTTAGGGTGTTAGAGCACCGAGCCCCATCTCTGTGGTCAGACAGTACAGGCCCCTTTTAGGCCCCTGTGCTTGTTGAGTTTTACTGATCACTCAGTGCCAACATCTGCTGTTTGCTTATTTTGTGCGTGGTCCACATGTCTCTCATTCCTTAATGGAGTATTTCCTTTCTTCCTTTTTTCCCATTTCACGTAAACGATAGAGTTCCTAGAGAGTCACCGAGGTGCTGATGACGGGCTGGCAACCAGCAGGATACAGCGAGAGAAGAAGCGCTCTTACAAGGATCTGCTGCAAGAGGAAGACGAGGTAGCAACTCAGGTAGGAAATCCTCAGAGGAAAAGTTGAAGGTGTAAGGATGTGTGTAAAGCTAGTGATGGAATGGGTTTCTTGTTCTTTTTATTTTTTTAAATTTAGAAATGCATGTAGAAGGCAGCAAGAGCAGCTAATCATGTCCTGTATTGTTCAGTAACTTTCCTGGGGAAAAGGAGGGGGTCAATCCCAGTTACAACTGATTCTGATTTTTCTGGTAGTAGGATGTTGTCCTAGTCTTGATATGGAACCTTGCAAGTCATGAGATTCCATGAATAACTTCTTACGCACATAAAAATAATTTGGAATTTATGGTTGTATTAGTAGCCAAGAAGGGATGGGTATAATGTTAACTGATGTACTGTTGTTTTCCTGATTCTGCAGACAGCCTGAAACAATAGCCCTTGAGAGATATAAACTTGCCCTGTTCACCTCTTTGGGGCCTTAACTTTTGAAATCACATAGTGGCAACTTAAGTTTCTGCAAAACATTCCTCTTTGAGCTAAAAGTTCTGCTGTTAGTTCAAAGTTGACTACCTTGTGATTTTTTTTTTAATCCGGAAAACCAGTTCTAATTTAAAATTCTTTCACCATGCAGATGAATTCTGCAGAGGAGCTTCACTTTCGGATCATAAATTGGTCAAGACACAAATAATAATTAGGGGACATGACATATTAAGGACATATTTTTGTTCTATTCTAGTTGTCATCTCTTCATACCTCCTGTCAGTTTTTTTATCTTATTCAGCATATTAAACATGAACTGCTCACCTTCATTTTCATGGCTTGACAGTGTATGCATGCTTAGTTATTTCTTAGCTTTATTAAGAGGTAGATGTTTGTCTTTTATCAACTCACCAGCTAATCTCCAAGAGCTAGCTTTCACTGCCCATTTCTCAACATTTTCAAATGTGCTTTTTCAAGTTTTCTTGTGCATTGCTCCTCTCACTTTGGGGGGACCTCCCTCTAGAGATCTGTCTTTCAATTTGCTTGAAGCCCTGTTGTGCTGCAATGCTTACAGAAAGCTTGATGCTGATTTGCTGGCTGATGTGCTGAAACCAATCCTGACTAATACCATTTTTTGTATTCTCCCACCTCCTCATAACTTGAGTTTTGTCTTACTTTAAACCTACACTGTGTGCTCTTGGGGACAGAGCATGTTTCCTTTCAGCACCCAGAATGATGATCCTGGCTCATACCTAGGGTTCCTTGATGTTACAGTAGTACAGATAACTCTTGATATCTGCTACGAATTATTATCTATGTTAATAGTCCGTGCAAATCTCGTATTATTTCCTTCTTTTTTGTCAGCAACTTTCTTCTTATTATTCCAGGACAGTGAGTTTTTTCCGGGGACAGAACCTCACAAAAAGAAGAAAAAGCACTCCTCTGATGAGTTCTGCTACAGAGGTAAAATAGTAATCAGGCAGGGAAGGGGCTAACAGATCATGACTTTGAGGAGAGGATGCTTTGTGGTTAGCATTTCATGGGGAGTCAACCTGTCTAGAACAAGTATTCAGAAACCTGACGCTGATCAGCACCAGACAGCAGAAGATTAGGGAATTATATTTTCAGAGTCTAGTTTAACAAGTTGCCATTGTTGGGGGTAGAGATCTTCCACCCCCTTTTCATTGACAAGCTGTAGCTTTCTAACCCTTGCCTTCCTATTTGGCATTTGCATTTCTTTTTATCCTACTGCATTACAAACTATAATTATACTTGCAGGTAGTATTACTTTCTCTGTATTTATAAAAATAAAATGTATGAGATTGAAAAATAAATGCTTCTCTGCTCAGTTATTCTCATAGTAAGTTGGCCAGAAAATGACAATTCACCTCATAAAAGCTTAACATGTTTAGAATTTTATTTTTGGCACAATAGAAGGAGAAAGCCAAGTTGAAATTTCATCAAAATCTGTCTAGAGAATGAAAAAGCTCATATTTTCAGTTAACTGGTCTCACATTAGCTAAAAATGGCACGAAAACCTTGCACTCAGGTTGTAATTTCAGGCTCAGTAAGATATATTTCTATCAAAATAAGTTACTTCACAATAGAATAGAGTTTGACAAAACTTCCGGAACTTTCCTACTGTCTTCCTGCCTTAAATTTTTTTAACACCAGCTCGGGTGTTACAGCCTCTGAATTGTATCAGTAAGACCATGCTGAGCTGGCTACAGTCTTGAGACATGTTCTGTTTAAGCCAGGCTGTAAATCTGTTAGCTGTAAATTGTAAGTCTTGCAGGATCCCCACTTCCCTTCTTTGCTGTCTTTAAGGGAGTCATCTTGATGTACATTTCTCTTCATCTTTTTCAGGTGTTTCACCTCTGGATCTACCATCAAAGAAGAAGAAAAAAGCAGCTTCTAGCCCATCCTCAGCTGATCCAACCATGGATTTACTCAAGGCTATCACCTCACCTTTGGCCACAAGCTCAAAGTCTTCAAAGAGGACTTCTGAAAAATCATCTCATTCTTCCTCTGGCCATTCTGAAAGCAGAAAGGAGCACACCAAGAAAAAGCTGAGTGGGAGCAGTGGGGAACACTCAGTGGACGATGGCAGCTCCCACAAATCTAAAAAAATGAAACCTCTCTATGTGAACACAGAGACACTTACTCTTCGTGAACCTGATGGCTTGAAGATGAAGCTCATCCTCTCACCAAAAGAGAAAAGTAGTGCAGCAGATGATGATGCTTTATCCTACTCTTCAACACCAGCAGCTGCAAAGAAATCTTCAAAGAAATCAGCTCGAGATGAGCAAGGCTCATTTCTCCTGGGTCATGAACTGCAGAGCTTCCTGAAGTCATCCCGAAAGAAGCACAAACCACCTTCTGACTCACATCCGCCTTCTGAGAGTTTTGGTGCTGACACCTCCCTTCATTCAGAGGGCCACGGAAGCGAGTATGAGATTCCAGGTATGGAAGCACCACCAGAATCTGGTTCTTCTTCTGGTGGAGAGTTGGAGGCTGGAGAGCTAGTGATAGATGACTCCTACCGGGAAATCAAGAAGAAGAAGAAATCAAAAAAAAGTAAGAAAAAAAAGGACAAGGAGAAACACAGAGAGAAGAAGCACTCTAAGTCTAAAAAGAGTTCTGGGCATTCTCCTGTGGCGGTAGCAGAAGTAAGGGTGTCACCACCACCTCCCAGTACCCCCTATGTTGTTCCTCCACCTCCTGCTGTTTTTCATTCAGATGGTCAAGGTGAGAAAAGGAGGAAAAAGGAAGACAAGGAGAAAGACAAAGCTGAAAAATGGGAAAAGGAGAAGGAAAGAGACAAAGAAAAGGAAAGAGACAAGGAAAAGGAAAGAGAAAAGGAAAAGGAGAGAGACAAAGAAAAGGAAAGAGACAAGGAAAAGGAAAAAGAAAAGGAAAGAGAAAGAGAAAAAGAAAGAGAAAAAGAAAAAGAAAGAGAAAAAGAAAAGGAAAGAGAAAAAGAAAAGGAAAGAGAGAAGGAAAAGGAAAGAGAAAAGGAAAAAGAAAGAGAAAAAGACAAGGAAAGAGAAAAGGAAAGAGAAAGAGAAAAAGTAAGGAAAAATTGGAGGGAAAAGAGAAATTGGGTGGTGGGTAATGGTGGATTAAGCATTCCATTACAAAGGCATGTTAAACTGAAACAGAAGGATAACTAATACCACTATCAATGGTTTCACTGAAGCATGTTTGGAAAACTGTCAGCCACTGTGATTTCTGTTTGTAGCAAAAGGAACATATGTTGGTTTGGGTTTGTGGCACAGGTAGTCTTTAGCCAACAGAGGTTCTTTGGAAAGGTTATACTTAAATTTGCTTTGTACAGGTCAGGTATCAAGCACAGCTGCATCATTTTCTAACATGACTGGTTCAGGCTATTGCCAGGCAGACTTTTGGACTAGTGATCTAGTCCATCATCACAGTTCCTGTACATGAAAAGTGAAGATATTTACCCATTTACTCCTGTATTGAAATTATAATTCTTATAGACTACCATGTTCCCAGTTTTGTCCTGTACTTATAAATTCAGTTTTCCATGGTTACTGTGTAAAGAAATGAGTAGCAGAAATGGTAACTAGCATACAAACAAGTTTGCAAATTATGTAACTAGCTGTGTAAGTTTATAAATGGGCAAAAGCAGTTTCTTGCATGCTCAGATAGAGAAATGTTGCTTTGTATGAGGAAATGGGCAGACAGAGCCCAAATCTGTTCAGCCATTATCCTATTCTGTTTGGGAAGTTTTCCTTGATCATAGCTTGGCAACTGCAAAACCTCTGCTGTCAATGTACTTACACGGTCTGTTTTCCTGCCAACTTGAAATACTTTCTAAGGATGCAAGAAATGGAACAAAATATTATCATGAGGACCGAATGGTTTTGACAGATCTATAATAGGTACTGTGAATAGTATAACAGATAGTGGTTTTTATTTTAGGTTTAAAAACTGAGCTACATTAACAGAGTGGTATGTTGATCCTGAAATTAGAATAACAGGTTGCTGGTGAACTTTGTAAGATAAGCCGTGTACTAACACTGGTTCTGGCTGATTCCTGTGCTTTCATAAACACTAAATTCAGCCAGAACATGTAAAACACTGCTTTTTAAAGTTCCTGATTTAAGTGCCATACTTTTCTTTAGGTCTTCAATAAATGCCAAATTCTTATTAAATTGGAGAAGGTCTCATCAGGATTAAAAATCTTTGTTTCCTTTCTTCTTCTGACTAGCCAAAGAAGAAAAACATGTCTGCCTATCAAGTGTTTTGTAAGGAGTATCGTACAACTATTGTGTCTGAGCACCCTGGAATAGGTAAGAAAATAATTGAGCCTTCTCTTCTCTTGTTTATACACCAGTCGGATTAATTAGGAGAACATATCATCTCTGTTTCAGACCAACCCCTTACTTTTGACAGAATGCAAAGAATCTCACAACTTAGAGTAAGAGGTGGAAAAGGGGACAGGAGTGGATTTTCATAGAATCATAGAATCAGCCAGGTTGGAAAAGACCTCAGAGATCATCAAGTCCAACCCTTGATCCATCACTACCATAGTTACTAGACCATGGCACTAAGTGCCACATCCAGTCTTATCTTAAAACCTCCAGAGATGGTGACTCCACCACCTCCCTGGGCAGACCATTCCAAATGTCTGTAAAAAATGTCTTCCTAAAAGATTTTGTGATTGTATTATAATTACATTTTAACCAAGCTGTGAGTCTGGATAAAGAAATTGCTAGCTCTTTCTTTCTTGTCCTGCAAATACACTGTCACTTCATATTCCTGGTATCAGCTTTTTTTTTTTATTTTAAACAGTAATGGGAATGCACACTGGCACTCATTTTCAGGACAGTGTGGAGAGTTCCAGTTGTGCAGTGGCTTGCTTCCTAAATGCATATGGATGGGCCTGTAAGTTTCCTATGTTCTCTCCTTCATTTTACAATTTAATTTGTTTTAAACATTTTTCTTCTCTCTTTCTGCCAGATTTTGGAGAGCTAAGTAAAAAACTGGCAGAAGTGTGGAAGCAGCTACCTGAGAAGGACAAACTGGTGGGTGTGTGTGTGAGATGTTTTTGTAAAATTATTTCTGTAAACTAGGTGCTTAGATCAGAATGTGCTGGCAGCATTGCCACCATACCTTGAAATATGCTACCTATGTCCCCAAAGTATATAAAGATGGAAAGTATGGAAACCTTGCCCTTGCAAACATAAAAGCCTTCATTTCCTTCTCATGGTATTGCTTCACCCGTTAGCTACGTAACATCATTCTGCCTCCAGGTCCTGGCATCAGGTAGCAGAATTACCTAATATTATGAATCTCTCTTTTCTTGCCACAATAACTACAGATCTGGAAACAGAAAGCTCAGTATCTCCAACACAAGCAGAATAAAGCAGAGGCCACTACTGTGAAGAGAAAGGCATCATCTTCAGATGGTGCACCAAAAATGAAAGGTAATTGTTGCACTTTATTTGCCCTCATTGTTTTTCTTGGTCAGGGAAGATAGTGTTGCCAGTGGAATAAGGAGCAAATGTCCTTACCTGCTTCACATCCCTATCAGCTTTCTCACAAAGTTTAACATTTAAATCACCATACTACTCAAATCAATTTTTTTGTGAGAGCGAGAATGATGAATTAGACGGATTTCCTTGTCTAATTCATAGAACGGTGTTGTTTTTAGCACTATAGGGATTGAAATGTAAATTAAGAAAAGGCAGAAAGGAAGTTGTAGTGGGATTAATTTTGCTGCTAGAGGAAAATTGATTGTTCTTGGTTTGGCATCACTGATACCAAATCTCCCCAATTGTATTCAGCTGAGGTAGATGCTTTGTGCATATGAAAAAAAAAGCTTTGACTCCAAAGACCACAGGATTGGGTCCACAGAACTCTTTAAGCATCTCATGCCTTTGAGATTTGAACTTTACTAAGTAAATAGGCTTGTAAGTAAAACAGTGAAAGAAATGAATATGGAATTTTAATTTGCATGTTTCCAGCTTCTCCAACAGGAGTGATTTCCCCTCATAAGAAATCCCCCACAAGCACCGTGGTGGTGCCTTCCTCACCAGCCAAAGCCCCTGAGACAGATCCTATTGATGTAGCTGCACACTTACAGCTGCTGGGTGAATCCCTGAGCCTCATTGGACACAGACTGCAGGAAACAGAGGTGAGTCTGTAACCAGCAGTGTCACCGTGATGTCCTGTGATCTACACACTGGATTGTGGGAGATGATTATTTTATTTAATTTAGAAGTTTAACCAATGATTTTCATTTAGGAAGAGAAACTGGAGGTGGTGTGCCATGTTTTTTTGATCCATTGCTACTTATGGTAGTTTTCTGGCAGTATCATATTGCCAGTGCTTTGGACAGGGGCTACTATTGTTTCAACTTACCTAGTAACATAGAAGATGTCATATTTTAATGGTTTCCTTCTGTTAAATGATAGTGATTCTATGAATGCACACACACACATGCACTTTCAGAACTCAGCCCAGACTCTAAGCAGAACACATATTTGTCTCAAATGATACCACTGAATTTTATGGGTAGCATGATCATCTCATCGCACTGTGCTTGCAAGAACATTTATTTCACTGCTGATAAAACAAGCATTTTGTTTTTGGGACGACTGAGGTAATTTTCAGAGGAACAACCAGAGTACAGAAAGGCACAAAATTCCCCTTCCTGAAAGTATATCAATGACTAAAGCATTTGTTACAGACATAGCATTTCTTTAAACTTCATAAATCAAAAATTTTTGTTATTAGGACTCATGTAGTTAACAAAATAGATGGTCTGAAATGGCAGAGTTCATTACAAAAATTTGGGGAATTCAGTGTTTTATGCAACTCACAGCCTTCTGACCTTTTCTTTTGTTCCCTACCTTTTTCTTGCATCAGTATGTTGCCTACTGAATTCTTAAATTTTTTGACCCAGCAGTCTCCCTGTGAAGCACAAGGCACAGTTTTGTTACTGTGTAAATAATGGAAGTGGACTAGAGGAGCTGAAGATACTGTATCTGCATGACGATTGATACAGTTGAGAAAACCATCAGTTCCACTACTCATCCCCATCCAATTTTTTTTCTTTACTACCAGGGAATGGTGGCTGTTTCAGGAAGTTTGTCAGTACTTCTAGATTCAATCATCTGTGCTTTGGGCCCGTTGGCATGTCTGACCACACAACTGCCTGAGCTGAATGGCTGCCCGAGGCACGTTTTGGTGAGTTCCCTGTGGTTATATGTTGCCATTGTATGATACTGTGTAACTTTTTATCTACCACTGGCAACTGACCTAATATTTGTAGTCTTAATTGCAGTGTGGGTAGGTTCTGTTTAGTGATGAGTCAATCCATGTGAATCAAATAAAAGTGCCAGTACATATACCAGTATTTTTCAAAGTTTTGATTTTCTGTAAACATAACCCCCCCTTCTAGCTGCTCTGTATCACACAAGCTATTTTTCCTTTAAAAGCATAAAAAATAGTTTGTGATCTCAGTATTCCCCATGTGATGTGTAGGGTCTTTTACATGTGGCTGAAACCTTCTCTGAGGAAAGAAAAATAGTCCCTGTTTTAAGGAACTGCATAGCTACAAGTTCTTTTCCACTTTAAATTACACTTAGTATTGAGCCCTGATTTAGGAACAGCTTGTGGCATCTGTGTAGCTTGATGTGACAGATTCAGATGGCAGCAGCATAAAGGAATCGGGAGTCATATCCCCAACAGGAGACATGAATAAAGCAGCGAAGGATAGAAGCAAAGATCAAAAATATACAGTCTGCAAAAGTTGAGAGACTAAAAACAAATCTGGCAGAGAGAACAACAAAACTGGGTTATGAATTGGCATGTCATAATAGGGCAGCCTAAACATTGATTCATTCTGAGAACAGACTGTTAACAACAGGAACAAAGTTGACAGCTTAGGCTGTAAGCTCCCACAAACTGGCTCTCTGCACAAAAGCTGAATCAGTGGGATGTTCCCATCCTAAGCCATGGAAAAATCATATGCTTTTTTCCTTCTTGCTTGCCAAGTGCAATGACACCACATGACTAATGGTGGGTCTATTGGAAACGTGATCAACTTATTGTTATAAGGAGCAGTGGAGCTTTAGGTGAATTAAAGCACCTACCCTTCAATTCTGAAAACTGGTGTTCAGGAGTTGATAATAAATAAATAATTCTGATTTTTACTGTCAGATTCATAACAAAAACGGATCAAATTCAGCAGTTGTGTTGCGTGTAGAATGCAGTTTATCTTTGAGGCAGTAGGTGGCATCGTTAACTTCTAGAATCACAACTGGTACAGATCTAGCTCCTCCAATTAAAACGTGGTGTTCTAAGGCCTTCGGCTAAACAGCCACAGGCTTGAGCTTACTGAAATACTGCACTTGAAGAAACATAGAGCTGGGAACTTTTTTTCTGAGGTGCATGGAAAGATTCTTACTCTGAGAACTGTGTTATGTTTTGCAAAAAAAAACTGAAGAGCACTTTTTTTTCCCATCTGACACCCTTTTTGGGGTGCATTTAAGGCTTTTTCTCTTTACTTTTACAGTACAGAATTTCATAGAGAATTTATGAGTGTCAAGTCGAGTAATTTTTTTCTATATGCTACAACTTTGATCACCTTGCTCAAATCCTTCATCACTGGTTTTTCTATGGTTGATGTGATATGGTCACTGTGGCTTGCAGAGATAAGAGTATGGAGTCCATAAGGAGGAAGTCACTTGGGGAAAGCCTCGAGCATTTTCAGTGTTTCCAGGTGCTTAAAAATACTGAGGCTACCTTTATGTTTAGTTAACCTACATTTCCAAAAATGCAAAAATAAGCCTAGTGATCAATAGGCAGATTTGGTTGTCCCATCATAGATAACTTGTTAGACAAGTGAATACACTTATTACCCTCATCTGTGTAATTTTTAAGGATTTGGAGTTATTGCCTGACACTAAAAAAATACTGAATTTCTTTTCCCAGTCAAACACACTAGACAACATTGCCTACATCATGCCTGGACTTTGATGGGAAAGGATCCTGGGATGTACTCAACCTCTGCGTAACTGATTTGTGTACATATGCACTACGCGGCGCTCCTGAAGGGCTCCATGTGGAGGCTTTTAAAGTTTTATATGTGTATAGTGTATACATAGGATTGTAACTATTTGACTTCTATTTTATGAAAAGTTGTGAAATTAAGCTGAGAAAACCCTTTTGTGTCAGTGGGTGAAATGTCCTCCAATCTGAAAGTACTTTGTATGAAGAATTCAGAACACTTTTGAGATACTTGCCTTAATTTCAGATCCTTTAGTGGGGGAAGCAGGCAGAGAATGGACTTCTTGATGTAAAGAAGAAAGCTGTCACCATGAGAAAGGTGTCATCATTGAAACCGTTGGCCCAGAGGGGTTCTTGACTCTCCATTCTTGACGGTTTCAAAAACTGAATGAGCAGCCTCCTCTAGCTGGACTTTCTTTAAGCAGGGAGATGGACCAGATGACCTCCTGATACCCCTGCCAGCCTAAAGTATTCTGATATTCTATGGGCAGATAGAGATGGTAATATATTTTGGACCAAGGAATAGAACTGAATTCTTCACCAGCCCTATTTGTAACTCTTTTTCAGTTTAAAATCCACTGCTTGAGGGGAAAGCTGGATAGCTGATTAAAGATACAGAGGTCTTTGCCTCTTGATCGCTTCCTCCAACCCTCGCTCCTCAGTCAGTAATAACTGAAAGTTGTCAGTGTCAGCTGTGTGGTCTGGTAGCTGGCATTTGAAGTGAAGTAAAAGATGTCAATAAGTTTAATTTTTTTCTTATGGACTCATACCCAAATCATCATTAGCACAACGTATCAACCAACTGCATTTGCTCGAGAGAATGAACCTCCTGCTGGCTTTTTCCAGGGCACGGTCAGCCTGCTTTGATGGAGAGGAGTGCAGAATCAGATGGGAAAAACTTGGATTGCTTCTGCCCATCTTGCACCTGTTTTGTGAGATTGCTCACCCCCCATCCCTTTCACCAGCACTATTGAAAGAGCTGTGGTGCTGCTGCAAGGCAGTGACTGCTGAAGCAGCTACGGCTGAGTAAGGCACATGTGGGTTGATTGGACCGGTTCCTCTTCCTTCCAGCCACATACTTGGAGTTTGGTTTTCTGCTCCTCTAGAGGAGGAGATGCAGAAGAAGACTTGATTCCTGTTTAGACTTTTGTCTGTCTTGTATGTTTATGTGGTGTTCATATCACATGTATTTAACTTTTACCGATATCTGTAACAGATTTTAATTTATCCTGTATATTTCTCTGTGTGTGTGTATATATATATATATATACATAATTTAAAAGCAAAAATCCCTCCCTCAGTCAACAGTGTGTGGAAAATAGGAATCAACTTTGCCTCACCTGTTCCTGCAGGAATCAGCTATATGTGGGAAAACACCAGGAAGATTTTAAGTGTTTGTAAAAACAGGCCATCTTGTGAAAGTAGATAGAACAACTGAAATATAGTTTGACTCAAAACTTTCCAGCTCTGTAACAAGAAAGTTTTAAAATTACAGAAGAGCCATTTTTTACATCCAAGTAAGTCTAGCTTCTGTTTTTCAGGATAGTTGAAAGTGAACTGTCCCTCATTCTGGCTGAGCCCCAGATCAGAAGTAAATTAAATCCTTGGGTGTGCAGGAGGGTTTTTCTCCCAATACCTCTTCACTATGTATTCCCCAGATGTGCCTGTGTACAAGGTAGTCTCTCTCTTACAGAGTTTTTCTCAGCGCAGTGAGAGGTTTTCTCAGTCAGTTAGTGGAGGAGGCAAAAGATTCTCAGACCACTGGACCAGAACACACGTTTTAGCAACATATGACAAATCCCAGTGAGCCTAGAATTAGGATGGTCCCAGGAGGGATCCTAGCCCATACAGAACCATCTGCTGCTGGGAGCAGCACAAAATAACTTTTTTTCCAGCCCTTTACAGTTGAGAGCATTGTGGTGAAGGGATAGATCTGCTCTTGAAGAAACAGAAGGGGATAGCTTTAGCTTTGTTGTCTGTACAACGAAAAACTCTTGAAGAGTGAAAAACACACACAACCCTGGTGTATTGTATTTTTATTAAAATTTGTACACTTTGTATAATCTGTATCTTGTGGTATTTGGTACTATAGGGAAAACTTTGGCAAGACTTAGCAGTTTTTATATTTTTGTTATTTCTTTGCTGTTTGGTCCCGATTACATTACAATTATACACAGAAACTTTTTTTGTACTGTACTTACAATATAATTTTTTTTTAACATTTGGAGTATTGTCGTTCATTTCTGGCATGCACTGTTTTCTGCAGCTGTTGTTACTACTCGTATCTAGTGTTTCCCAGCAAAGCACATCCAACCCTATCCTTGCTAAGCTCACTCAGTTTGCATGCAGGCTGTACTGTTTGCAGCAGCACAGGTCACCCTAATCATCACTGAAAGACCCCAGCCATTTGACCCTTCTTTCTGAAGGGAGACAAGCCATTGAGTACCACGGATAGCATTGGGGCATTCCTTTTCCCTGCTGCCTCACCTCCATTCAGGTTCGTAGTGCCAGATGAGACCAATACCTGGGACTTGAGTATGTTCCATGGGATCAGGTGTGGCAGCATTAGAGCAGGATTTGTGCTGGTTGTTAACATGTCCTCATTTTCCGGGTATGGGTGTTGGTTGATTGCAGCCACGGCTTGGGCAGGGCAGGGTATTAGGCCAGGAGCAGGTCACAGAACACTGTGCTTTACTAACCACCGTGTATGGGGTCACAGGACGGTTTGAGTTGCAAGGGACCTTAAAGGTCATCATTCCAGCACCCTGCCATGGGCAGGGACAACTTCCACTAGAACAGGCTGCTCAAAGCCCCATCCAACCTTGAACAGTTCCAGGGATGGGGCATCTACCACTTTCCTGGGCAACCTGTTCCAGTGCCTCACCACCTTCACAGTAAAGAGTTTCTTGCCAATTCCTACGAGTGTGCTCCCACACCAGGCCGTGGAAAACTAAAACCCCATCGCTACAGGCGTTCCACGACTCGGGCACCGCTCTGGGTGTTCTGCACGAGCTCGGTGTGGCTGCAGAAAGTGGCGGAGGCTGCCGGCGGCGGGAGCCCCTCGGTTCCCGCGGGCCGAGGCTACGGGCCGGCAGGACCCCTGTCCCGGCAGCCGCCGCCCCTCCGCACGGTGGCTCCGTGCCTCGCTCAGCCCGTAGCTCGGCGGGGCCGGTCCGGGGCCCCTCCCGGGCGGCGGCGTCACAGCGGGGCCCAGCGGGCCCGCCCCGGCCGGCGCGCGGGTCACGTGAGCGGCGGCGGCGGCGGCGTCAGCTGATCGCGGCGCGGCGGCGGCGGCGATGGACTTTCTGCTGGGGAACCCCTTCAGCTCCCCCGTGGGGCAGCGCATCGGTGAGACCCGCGCCCGCGCCCCCCGAGCCCTCGCGCAGCCCCGCGTCCCCGCCCGCCCCCGCCGCCCCGGGGGCGCCCGACCGACCCTTCCTCGGGGAAGCGCCGGGCCCCGCCCCCGCGGCGGGACCGAGCCGGCACTGACCAATCAGAGCAGACCTTTTCTCTGACTGACGGGCACTACCGGCCAATAGCGGGCGCACAGCCCGAGGCGGCTCCGCCGGGGGCCCAGCCAGCCAATCCGGGCGCAAGGGGGTCTCGGGGTGAAGTTTGCTCGCTTAAAGGGGCCGCGAGCCGGGGGTCCGGACCACGCCCCCCGGGGCCACCAAGGCCCGTGATTGGCTCGGGGCCATTCCCGCCCGCGCCTCTTCGGGGGCTTCGCGGCAGGGGCGGGGCCACGCCGGGGGTACGGTGGGAGCCGCTGATTGGCTGGGCTCCAGCTGCCGCGGCCTATCGCGGCCTGGGCGGGAAGGGGCGCGTGACCCGCGGTGGTGTGAGGGTCGCCCTCGGGGACTGAGGGGACAGAGGGGGCAGCAGGGACAGCAGGGACAGCAGCTCTGGGCTGGGCTGTCCCTGTGACGTGTGGCTCACCCACTTGGACCAGCATCCTGCACTCGAAGGTCATGCGTGCTGGGTACCCGGGGCGGCTGCCCCGAGCCTCCCCGCGCTGAGTTGTGGGACAAGCGTCATGGCTATGGAGAGCAACTCCCTGTGGCACGGGCCGGCTCAGGGCACTGAGCACCAGCTCTGGCAATTAACACGGCGCCCACACTGTGACCTCTCCGGTCTCCCGCAGTCCCTGCACTCAGGGCAGCTTGGGGAACGTGGGAGAAGGATGTGGTCTGAGAAAATGGAGCAGCGATGCCACAGTTAGAACAAGACCATCAACAGCTGCACTGGCGCTGGAACAGGGATTCTTAAAATCAGTTCTTTGAGCAGTTCTTAAAATAATTAGAATGAAGACCCATTCCTCCCATGCTGTATTGCCTAAGGGCCTTCAAGTTGCACTTGAACATTGATGCCCAACTAAACTCTGCATTTGTCAGTTTATGCACTTCCATTCTTGCTGTTTGTCACCCTTCAGACCTTTGCTCTTCACTATGAACATCTGGTCCTGGGTTCAGTTGTTTTTGGTGAGCTCACATGGGTGAAGTGGCTGGGGCAGGAAGGGAGCAAGCAGCTGCTCTAAGTAATGCTTTTGTAGGCACTGCTTATTTTAGAGGCTGCCCTAAGCACTGTCCAGAAGTGGGCTGGTAGCACTGCGATGTGCCGCTCTGGTGTTGGGCCACATATGTGAGATGCACTACAGCAAGATGGGGGAAGGATCATCAGGGATCATTCTGTTATCAAAAACCTCCAGAAGATCTTCAGCATCTCCCCAGAAGAATGTCACATGTTCCATCACACGTTCCAGGAAAAGCTGTCTCCTGCCCTTTCCCAAATAAATGCTCTTTGTTCTCTCAGTGACTGTATCAAATATGTCCTTGTGCTTGGGTAGAGGCAATCTGAAGATGTCACAGATCCCTTCATGCCCTCCAGATCTTCTCGTCAGTATAGTAACCAGATTGTAAGTGGGCTCCTTCTGGGCTTTGCTTCAATTAAAGAAGGGATTCCCAAGCAACAAACCAACAGCCAATAAAAGGAGAAAAAAGATATTTCAAGAGTTGTCAAAGAAGAGTTGAGAATCCTTAGTAGCAGAGGTACTAAGATAGTAGGGAGATCTTAGTTACTGTGGTTTGGGGTTATCTGAGTCCAAAGGGTTGGAAGAATTACAGCATATGTGAAAGGAACTCAGGGTGAAGGACTTGAAAGGGCTGGTGGCTGAAAATATGAATGTTTTCTCCTTTTGAACATTGCTTATCAACATCCCGGGGACATGGATAAATGCTATCTGCCCTGTTTAATTTGAGACGCCAACATGACTTACCCAAACTTGTTTGGTAGGTCCGTGGCAACTTTGTGTCCAACCCATGAGCCTGATCACCAAACCTGCATAGTGCTGCTGCTTTGGGCTGTCTGCAAAGAGCTAATGCTGCGTCCTTGTAAATTACTTAGGCAAAGTCATGTGTGCTTGATATAGCTTATGAGGTCTAAAATAGCTTTAGATGAAGGCTAAGGAATATTAAAAAAATCCTCTGTGGCACACTGCAGCGACGTTCTCAAATTCCTTCATTAATGTTAATCTAGGAAGACCTACTTATTTTGCTGACTAGGAATCCAATGCTGAGATAATCTCAGTGATGTGTCACAGAATGAGTCAGTTGCA